TGCATGTAATTGTTGGGGGAAATGGAGTAAAAAACAGACCTGGGGTTGCGGGTTAAGGTTGTGGATTTCATAGTGACGAGATCCAGAAGCCAGCAGCACTTGGCCTCACCCCAGAGCTTCCTGCCCTGCAGACCTGAGGTTAAGGGACAGGGACTGAGTGAAAGTGGTTAAAGATTGAGAGAGAAAGGTGGGGGACTGTAGAAGACTTTGGTCCCCAGTACACCCTGCCTCACATGTTGTTTAGTAAGAGCTATGAACAGAGTCCTCTGCTCCCACACACCTACCACCAGGCCCCAAGCCTCAACCAGCTCCCACTGTGGTTTCTTTACAGCCTTGAACCACAGTCAGCCTTCAGATGGTTAGCATCGTAATCAGGCTCTTTTTACCTTAACCTTTTTACTCAGTCACCCCGTTGGCTCTATTCATGATCATTTTTTTATTTATACAAGGTTTACTTTTCTCACACTTCACTATTTTCAATTATACAATTTTGGAAGTGATTTTAGCAGAAACGTCACTTCAAACTAACCAGCAGCTCTTTTTTTGCAACAGCTTTTTCTGCAGCATTYAATTCATTTAGATCAGCAGATGTCTTTTTTTTTTTTTTGATCCATTTGCCCATTCAGTGCCCAACCTGAAACCTGCTACATGTTAAGTATCCATCCTCTCACACTCAAACACAAATCATAACTGATGCCCTGCTGAGTGCTTACGGGCACCCAAAGAACGCTAAACAGAAGAACATGACATGCAATTAATCGCCCATTTGTACATTTGTCTGAGAATCTTCTGTTCAAAGCAGTTTGGTTTAAAATTGTTTCTCTCTCTTCTCGCTGTGGTGGTCTCAGATGCGGGTTTGAAATAAGCATTTTAAAATGTTTTCAAAATAAGTCTGGCACTTTGGAGAAAATCAAGGACTCGCTGGAGGGATTATACAGTATATCCCCTCTGGTCTGGGAACGTCTCGGAGTCCCCCAGGACGAGCTGGAAGGTGTCGCTGCGCAGAGCGCGGGGTCTTTCTCCTGCCCCCCCCCCCCCCCGCCGCACCCAATAGCGGATAAGCCGGCCGGACGGACAATTTATTGTGGTTTGCAAAAGTATTCATAC